GCTTCTTCAAATTCCAACATCTTTTCTACAGGCGCTGTAAATATGGCTTCTCCAAACTTTAACATCTTATCTACAGGCGCTGTAAATATGGCTTCTCCAAACTTTAACATCTTATCTACAGGCGCTGTAAATATGGCTTCTCCAAACTTTAACATCTTATCTACAGGCGCTGTAAATATGGCTTCTCCAAACTTCAACATCTTTTCCACAGGCACTGTAAATATGGCTTCTCCAAACTTCAACATCTTTTCCACAGGCACTGTAAATATGGCTTCTTCAAATTTCAACATCTTTTCCACTGGCACTGTAAATATGGCTTCTCCAAACTTTAACATCTTTTCCACAGGCGCTGTAAATATGGCTTCTCCAAACTTCAACATCTTTTCCACAGGCACTGTAAATATGGCTTCTCCAAACTTCAACATCTTTTCCACAGGCACTGTAAATATGGCTTCTTCAAATTTCAACATCTTTTCCACAGGCACTGTAAATATGGCTTCTTCAAACTTCAACATCTTTTCCACAGGCACTGTAAATATGGCTTCTTCAAATTTCAACATCTTTTCCACGGGCACTGTAAATATGGCTTCTTCAAACTTCAACATCTTATCTACAGGCACTGTAAATATGGCTTCTCCAAACTTCAACATCTTTTCCACAGGCACTGTAAATATGGCTTCTCCAAATTTCAACATCTTTTCTACAGGCACTGTAAATATGGCTTCTCCAAACTTTAACATCTTATCTACAGGCGCTGTAAATATGGCTTCTCCAAACTTTAACATCTTATCTACAGGCGCTGTAAATATGGCTTCTCCAAACTTTAACATCTTATCTACAGGCGCTGTAAATATGGCTTCTCCAAACTTCAACATCTTATCTACAGGCGCTGTAAATATGGCTTCTCCAAACTTCAACATCTTTTCCACAGGCGCTGTAAATATGGCTTCTCCAAACTTCAACATCTTTTCCACAGGCACTGTAAATATGGCTTCTTCAAACTTCAACATCTTTTCCACAGGCACTGTAAATATGGCTTCTTCAAATTTCAACATCTTTTCCACAGGCACTGTAAATATGGCTTCTCTAAACTTTAACATCTTATCTACAGGCGCTGTAAATATAGCTTCTCCAAATTTCAACATCTTTTCCACAGGCACTGTAATTATGGCTTCTTCAAACTTCAACATCTTTTCCACAGGCACTGTAAATATGGCTTCTCCAAACTTCAACATCTTATCTACAGGCGCTGCCAATTTAATGTGTTTTCCAAACTTCAACATCCTATCTGCGGATATTTTCTGTATTCTATATACTTTGAACATCTTTTCTGTGCAAACTTTCGATATTCTCTGATATCATAAAGCTGGCTACTTCAGCTTGTTTGGATTCACATCTTTTCGAGAAAAAAAAAATGCTCTTGGGTCCAACATCTTATCATCCTCGGGCACTTAAGGCATTATATGTTTTACAGCTCCACATCTCATTCTTTCAGTTTTCACAGATCAAAACCTACAGTTTGTTGACTCCACTTTGTCCAATGTCTATGGTTCCCCCAGGCTTCCCATATGTTATATACTTAAACAGGCCGTCTTTACCGTGTTATCAAACATGAGGATTGTCTTTGTTTAATGTCAGGATTAATCTGACCTTTTTAAAGTTGTTTCCTAGAGACCATCGATTTCAAAACGTATCTCGTATATTTTCTATAAAAATGTTGCCCCTGTAATCGAACGAACAGACAAGTTCGGTGACAATGTTTGTTTCCTTTATGTATCTATATCTTCTCTTTTGTCTTAAGTCACATAAACAAGAAAGATGGTCTAAATTAGACATTTGACAGTTCCAATAGACTCACTGTCCCTGGGAGGCCTGTCGTAAACGGCAATCATATTAGGAGATTAGTGAAATTGGATGCTTAGGCAGAAAGGCTTAGATATCGCAGCCAAGATGTAAACCACGACATAACTTTCAGACCGCCCTTTTAAGGACGAACGCAGAAGAAAAGAAAAAAAAAAAAAAGAAAAAGAGAAACTGAGACAAAGCAGTGTTTCCCAAACCTGTTGTGGCCTACCGTTATCTTGTCAATAATAATAATAATCATCATAATAATAACAACTTTCCGTCCCCTCCAAAGGATATATCATCATCATTACGTTCCCTCTGCCGATATGAGGCGGCCACGATTTGTTATCCCAGAATCAATGATCAAGTCAGTGCAGTCTTCTCGCCCTTTATTGTGACGAATCACTCAGGGAATTGTATCTGCTTGTCGTCCTCATACTCTATTTCCATTAACTTTGCTAGTCAAAAACTTGTTGAATCTATTTCTTCCATGTAAATATGCCTTCTATAATCAAATAAATTGAAAAATGCAGCGATTAATTCACTGTTTTTCATGTATATTCTTCCTCAGTTTTGAGCACAGTTTTTACATTCTAGTCTGCTTTATATCAGACATAATTGGTTTGAGGTTTTGAACAACGGATCAACATCATGGCACACGGGTAGCAACCCATAAGTGCTCTGTTCTTCTTCTAACCCAAGTCTAAGTCCGAAGAAGCTCAGCACAGTGCACAGGCTCTGTAGCACCAGCGACTATCCTGAAATACTTTGGGTAGATTTTTAACTCCAAATTCTTGACCGGGCAGCGCCGTTAGGCTACTATTTTCGATTTACAACTGCCAAGGTATTTTTTACGTGCTTAACAATGCACAAGGGCGTCCGATCTCACTACCCAGAGACCAAAGGGAATTACTAGAAGTCCAAGTTCACGTGAAAAAATTCCAGCCCTTACCGGGATCTAAACCCGGAACCTCTAGCACTCGAGGCGGACACCGTGCCTCGAGACCAATCAGTTCCCTTAGACAGACAAGAATCGTAAGGTAAGTTGTACCGCACCAGGACATCACACAAGCGATAAACACCCGGTGACACAAAGTGCCACCATGCGGATTAAGATCACCGGTGGAGAGGTCCCGGAAACCCTGTTCAGTCGTTAGGCCATATTTATGGCCACCGGCACATGCCAGGGTGGGGCTTCAAAATATCAAAAATTTGCATCCAACATGGGACGACTTGTGCTTAGCCAAAAGACAAGAATGTTTTTTTTTTTCATTTAGTGTATTACCAATAGCTAATTGTTTTCTTCAGGAACACAAGTGAATATGTGTATCAATGATGGTAGCAATCGAAATAACGAAGGCACAAATAATTTGTTTCACAGTTTATTGCCTGGTATATTTCCTGTTTGCCATAAGATGCATACTATAAAAGTCAACACAAGATGCACAATTAAAAATCGTGTTACCGCACGGGACTTGATTATATAACAATGTGATTTTACAAAAATATGCTTTGTTATTTCTGTTAATGAACATGAAATGACAATTTTTTCCTATTATCCATATATTTTAAAAGGCTTATATATATATATATATATATATATATATATATATATATATATATATATATATATATATATATATATATATATATATATATATATAGGAGCAATGTGTGCTCGTAGAAGGCAAGAGTAGGACAAACGCTATGTATCGCTGTGTACCTGAGAAAATAGTAGAACGTTCTATTGATGTAAATATAAATCTTCAGCTCTGCTTTATTGATTACATACATGTAATTGACACTGTAAGGCACGTCGACTTTACAAATCTATAAATTGGTGGAAAAGATTTTGAAACCATGAGTTGTTAACCCTTTGGCTCGGTACTATGGGTATCGCAACCCTTCGGTCTTGATTTCATGATAGATACCGTAAGGTTAGTTGCATATCCTTTACAGGACGTTGCAGAATCAACCACAGTAGCCCCTGGCTGTTGTGTGGTTTCTCTAGACAAATTTACGTCTGGTAGTTTGCCATTGCACTCAACGGTCGGCCTCCTGATACCAGTGTCGAAAAAAAAAATCGATAATAAAGGAGATCTGTACCAACCCATCAAGAGTGGTGTGCGACAGGATATTAAATGCTTCTAGATCTTGTGTGTGTGTGTGTGTGTGTGTGTGTGTGTGTGTGTGTGTGTATGTGTGTGAAAATATTACACTACATCTAAAATATAAAGGAAATTAAATATGGGGGGGGGGGGGGTGTAACACCATCAATAAGATATTTAGAAGATACAACGTTGACTGTAGACAATGAAGATCTTCAGTGTTTAGTGGTAGTTCACAGTGAGAAACTAGGTCTGGAATAAAATTGTAATAAAAGGAAATGATTTTCATCACCAAGAAGGAAAAAATACCAAAGTGTGAAATACACGCAAACGACAAAATTCTTAAGCAAATCAATAGATACAACTATCTTGAAACAGTCATCACTCTGCTGCAAGATAAATGGCAGAAATTAGAATTGCATGGATAAAGTAGTCCTTCAGTAAGGTGCAAAAAAAATATATATATATATCTTACTAACAAGAAGATGCCAACCGCAGTGAGAAAAAAGAGTTATTTATAACCTGTGTTGGTTTATGCAAGTGAAACATGGACATTAAGCAAAGGAGCTGGAAAACATTTACTCGCAGCAGAAATATGGTTTCTGAGAACAATGCAAATAATATCAATGAAAAATAGGAAACGAAACAGTCCTCATCAAAACAGATGCAATTCACAATATTTATAGAACAGTTCAACATAGATAGCCTTTTTTAAAAACATACTATGAGAAGGAATGGACTCGATAACTTGACAACAACTGACCAGCTTGATGGAAAGGGAGCAAGAAGGCAAAGAGATAATACATGCATAGCCTGGCTAGATGGATGGGACGAGACAAAAACATTCAGCTGATTTGTGATTCTGGTGATCGTGTGAGAAAACACTAGTGCCTACGATTACTGTCACGGCACGTTATGATGATGATGTTGACATATTTTATGAGACTAGCTGGCGTAATTTAAAAACTCTAGGGGTCTCATGGCATTAGATACCATAGGGCTTCTTGAAGTCTAAATCTGACCCTGCACAGAAGTTACTTCAAATCCTTAGCCGACAATCTCCTTATATCTACTTATAGCCAATAGCGTAGCAGAATACGTCAATGCTTCTGAGCTCCAGAAAGGGAATAAACTCTTGGGGGTATTAAAACCATGAAAGACCAAAGGGGTTCCCTTCTCCTTCAGCATTGCTGCGTACTGGGTAGGTGGGATGTAGCCTTTGATAGCCAGTATGTCTGTGACGACATTGTAGCTTTTTGACCAGGGTAGCACTGTTCCATTGACATCTTGGAATAGGTTGGCCGGGTATTGGTTGATGACCATCTAGGCAAGAAAAAACATTGAGAATTATGTTAAATGCAGGCTAATAGTGGATACTACAAATCAGGCGCTTAGACACAAACAAAACAATGGGGCGGGTGGGGTGGAGGAGGGAGGGAATCAGGCTTTCAGTACTATTCTATGCCAGTCCCAGATAATAGTGTAAGGGGAAAGACAAATGTTTGACCAAATATAGAAATTAGGGATGTACCGAATAGTGATTTTCACTATTCGGCCGAATACGAATAACGGGACCAACTATTCTGCCGAATACAAATACGAATAGTGTATAAAATGTATCTAAAAAAAAAAAAAAAAAAAACACACACACACACATTCATAATGTCAAATGTATGCTAAACTATTACTGCTAATAAAGTAGCACAGAATAGTCATCTTCTTCTTTAGCATTCTGAGCCCTTGAGGTTTACTGCTGCAGATATAACTCGTCTCCATTCATCTCTCTGGCTGGCCTTATCTTCACAATTTGTGACACCAGTTGTTTGCAGGTCTGGCTGGACATTATCTCTCGATCTTCTTTTTTGTCTGCCTCGTGGTCTACGCCCATCCCTCTCTCAGGTGTATAGTTTTACTTCTCTGTCATCATTCTTTCATTATGCCCCAACCATTTTAGTCTGTTAGCTTTCATGATGCCAGTGATTAATAGTGATTTAAACAGATTTGTTTTACGTTGTTGCTTCGTACTCTCCATTCCCCGCTGTTAGCATTTTTGATGGGTCCAACGATTTGTCGTAAGGATGTTTTCGAAAACCTGTAATAAGGCCTCACCTTTTTTTATTTCTGCTTCAAGTTTCAGAGCCATATAAAACGACTGGTGTTATCAGCGTTTTATATATTTTGATATTGGTCTTGTGAAACGGAGATTTTGACTTTAGCAGATGTTGAAGGGCATAGTAGACTTTATTTCTAGATTGTATTCTAGATTGTATTTCTTCTCTCATCATGTTGGAGCAGTTTAAGTTTGCACCCAAGTACTTATATGTTTGATTTTCATATTATCGACTTGAATGTGGCCCGAGTTTATATTCTTTCCTTGTCTAGTTAGTAGTCGTACAGAATAGTAAACATTTAAAAACATTTTGTTTTGCATCCTTCAGTCAGTCTGTGGTAACTAGGAATGAAAGAATCCTAAGTATTATAATAAGTAACTAAACTTGGAGATTGTCACTGACAGCTTAGTTAATGCATGAAAGCTACATTAGCTTTCAAAAAAACCAATCGTTTCATGTTAGCCGTGTATGCAGAAGCGGGTGTAAGGTAACTACTATTCGTATTCGATCCGACCGCAATTATTCGGCCGAATACCAAATAGTTAATAGGTCCACTATTCGGCCACGAAGCGAATACGAAGCGAATATTCGGTACAGCCCTAATAGAAATTGTCATTACAAGTTTATGTTTATATAAGCAAGTTCTGATACAGACAACATAGATATTTATAGTCATGAGAAAGTACACATATCAGGAGAAGTTATCGATTCACCCACATTAAACAAACTACTATTTGCTGACGACCAATGCTTGTTCTACCCTGAAGAAGATAGACTTCAAGACAACATGAACAGATTAAACTCAGCATGCAGTAAATACAACATGAAGATAAATGCAAACAAAACCGAAACAATGCAAGTTAATAGAACCCCTGCCCCACTACACACAGTTGAATGTTTCTGCTCTGAATCAAGTTAGAGAACTTAAATATCTAGGAAGTATGATCACAGAAGATGGTAGAATTGACAGAGAAATAGAAACCAGACGTCAGAAAGCAAGCGCACTAGTATACCAATTGTCACCATTATTAAGACATCCAAGCATAACTATGAGTGCAAAGAGACAGATTATTAACAGCATATTCAGTCCAACATTATGCTACCAGTGCCAAACATGGACACTATCTAAAGCCCATGGACGTAAAATCACCACCTGCGAGATAAGATGTCTGAGAAAAGCAGCCAACCTAACAATCCGAGATCGCGTTAAAAATGAAACTATAAGGCAAACTGTGGGAAACCTTGTACTAGATTCGTCGAGAAACAGCAGATCAAGCGGTTAGGCTATCTCGTTAGAATGCAGCAAGATCAAATACCATTACAAGCACTACATCTCAGAAGATCAGCTACAAAAGCAAGAGGAGGGCGCGGAAAACATGGATCGACAACATTAAAGACACTCTACGCCTTCACGGCATGACAATAGCCAGTGGAAGCCAACGTGCTCTGGATCGCAAATTATTCCTCCCCACGGCGCTTAACGACAGAAGTGGTTTATGATGATCATTTCATATTATTTAAGGTATATTATTATATTTGTTTACTATTCAGCACGCTATTATTAGTATTATTACCTTAATTACTCAATGCCGAGGTGCTGGGTTCGATCCCAGTTGCAGGCAATTGGGTAGCAGACCGTCTTGCGTTGATGTCGACAGTGTGAGAGCAATGGGAAACTACTGAATGTAAATTTGCCTAGAAAAACCACAACAGCAGCACAATGTTGGGTTGGTTCTGTAACGTTCTTTAAAGGATGCGCAACTAACCACCCCCCCCCCCCCCCGCACTTACTTCCTTAGTTAATCCTCTTCTACCTTAGGGTGTATTTTTTGCCACAGAGATCATCAGACTTCTCTATCAGCAGCTCTCTTTTTAGATTTGCTCCATTCCGGTGCTCTGTCTTTCAAGGATCCCTTATCGTCCTGGTGGTCTGGTTCACTTGTTTTTGACCTTCCATGCCTGCCGTGGTGGCCGATTCTCTTCCATTCTGCATACACGTTCAAACCAGCGTTAACTGGTGGATCCATTCGAGTCTGTAAGACCTGGTTTTAAAAATCATGACTTATTGTCTAGTTGGGAACTTTGTCCCTTCTTGTCACTTGAACCACCTTTCTCAGATACCTCATTTATAAGACCTGAAGCTGGCTTCTGTGAGCTGTTGTCATTACCAATGACTCACACCGGAAGGTCAGGATTGGTACATAAGTAAAGCGGTATTCGGCAAATTTTTGCCCTCTTGCTAATAACTGTTGTTCTGAGAAACCCTGTTTTTATTTTCTTTCTGTAAACGTCTCCCAACTATTGCTTTACAAGCAGCCAACTCTGACATAATGCCTCTATTCTGATCTATTACAACCAGGTATTTGAACTGGCTGACTTCCTCCAATGCATACTGTTCCATCATTATCTGGGGGCTTTTCTCCTCTCTTGAGATTACTATGGTTTTAAATTTTGAAGATACTGATGGTCATCCCTCTCTTCTCGAGTTCTCCCTTCCAGACAAGTAAGCTGGACTGAAGATGTGCCTCTGATTTAGCAACCAGGGTCATAGTATTATATATATATATATATGTGTGTGTGTTGCAAGGGTTTAAAAGAATTTTGTTTCGGTTGTTCAATAGGCCTGAGCTCCCATGTTCCCGTGACTATGCGACAGTAGGGTGTAGAAATTCACATTTTCTCAAACTCATCATAACGAACCACGGTGTCCAGTTCCCTGATGCGATGTATTTAATTGAAAGACCAAACAATTATAGAAACTGCGACAGTTTTTTTTTTTTTTTGTTGTTGCTGGGGCGATCCCTGGTCATTCATCATCATCATTATGTAGCAGGTCCTTTGCAGAACGTCGCTCTCATCACATTCTGCCTGAAAGGAACTCGGTCTCTCGCCAGTTCTCCCGCCTCATGTACTTTCATACTTAAGGAGTCACTTATATCCTGTGCCCATTTTCGTGTCGGTCGGCCCCTGCCCCTACTTCCTGGTACCATGCCTTCTGCTTTAATTTTTTCTAATCCGTCATGGCGCTTGATATGACCGAAATATTTCAGCTTCCGAGAAAGGATGCTGTTTATTAGCCACTATTCCTTGATGTTCAGATCTTTTAAGATGTCAGTATTTCTCCTCTTTTTCGTCCAAGATATTCTGAGAATCTTTCTATAGCATTAAGGACTGAGAGATAGTCCACGACTCGCATCCGTATGTAGCCACAGGGAAGATGCATGCTCTCAAAATTCTAATTTTTATCTCCTTGCTGGTGCTTAACCATAGACTTTTAAGACTGTTCAATCGTTGCATTGCTATGGCCATCCTTCTTTTAATTTTTGTCGAAACAGTCTCCATTGCTGTTTATTATAGAGCCTAGATATTCAAAGTTTGTGAGTTTTGTTGTTTTTGTTTTTCCGGCTACCATGATGAGTTTCTTGAGATAGTAATGTGGTAGTTTCCCGTTGCTTTCCACATCCACTTGGCTTTAGACTACATCCTCAGCTTTCAGCAACCATTTCGATTGCTAGGGCAAGTGAGTGCCGTGCTCTGTGATGCTCCTGGTCAGTACTGCTCGGAAAACTAGGCCTGCACCTGTCGGGATTGAACATTGACTAGTGTTTTGACATGCAAGCACACTACTCAGTATACGATCCAGGAACGAGATGGCTCTCCAGCAATGAGATGGCTCTCCAGCAATGAGATGGCTCTCCAGCAATGAGATGGCTCTCCAGCAATGAGATGGCTCTCCAGCAATGAGATGGCTCTCCAGCAATGAGATGGCTCTCCAGCAATGACACATAGTTGCAAGAACATGTCAGGTTTCAACATTGAGCTGAAACTCCATCAATGAGTTGACACTCCAATATAACTCTCCAAAAATAACACATGACTGCAACAAACAGGGCAGGTTTGAACAATGAGATGGCATTTTAACAATCAGATGGTACTCTGAAAATTAAATGATACTTCGACAAAAAGATGGCTCTCCAGCAATGAGTGATGCATGCAACAAACAAAGCAGGTTTGAACAATGCATTGGTACTTCAACAATAAGATGTTACTCCAACAGTGAGTTGACACCCAGAAAATGTGATGTCACTCCAACAATGACGTGGCAGTCACAAGAACAAGGAAATGACATTATAGAAGGAGATGGTACTTCTACCTGGAGATGCCTCTTTGACAACATGTTTTAATAAATTCTACACTTACTGATTTGTCTTTTTCTACTACAGAAAAGACTGCATTCCAAGGTTCGTAGTTCCCACTGAATGTGTACTTAGTTAGCCACCGCACGCTTGCATCCACAACCTGCTCCACTTGGGGAGGTACATCTGAAAATTTTACACCAAATATTTTTTAACAACCTACCATATTATGGCAGGTTTTTACTAGTGTAACTCCATTGTGCAACAAAAGATACCCTTTCGCCTCTCGGGCTGATAGGCGCTGACTTCAAAGGAACCCCCCACCCTCCCCCCCCCCAACTGGTCGCATTTACGACATGCTTGTTAGTGTAACAATAGGCATACTTTTATACAGTTGGACCGACCATCTGGCACTCATTTTTGAGCTTCATAATGCCGGGATGCCGGGTTCGATCCCAGCTGCGGGTTATGCGCCTTGCGTTGGTTTCGACAGTGGTATCAAGAAAGCCGACCGTCCAGAGGCAATGGCAAACTACTGGACGTAAATTTGTCTAGAAAAACCACACAACAGCCATGGGCTGTGATGTAGATATTATTTATAATGATGATGGTTATTATGTAGATAATTATGATGATGATGGTTATGTAGATAATGATGGTGATAATGTAGATAATAATTACGATGATGATGGAGATGTAGATAATGATGGTGATAATGTAGATAATAATTATGATGATGATGGAGATGTAGATATTAATTATGATGATGATGGTTATGAAGTAGATAATAATGATGATGATGATGGTTATGTAGATAATGATGGTGATGATGTAGACACAAATTGTGATGATGATGGTGATGGAGATAATAATTATAATGATGGTGGTGTTGTAGATAATAATTTTGCTGGTGATCATGACAAATGATGATGATTATGATGATGGTGATTAGGATGACAATTATGATTGTGATACCGATTGCGATGATGACGATGCCGACGACGGTAATGATGATAATGACGATGATGATGACGACGATAACAGTGATGATGATTTACCTTTTTTCCAACTTGATTTGCTGGATGTTTCATTAAAACGGGTCCAAGTGCCCAGTAAAGCGTTGACCGCCATTGCTGTGGTGTATATCCTGTCTTCTCCACGGAGCTGTAAAAAAAAATTCAAGTTGATTCTTTAGTCTATAGTTTACAGAAAGTGATAGAAAACTGCACTTTATAAAAATGAAAATACACGAAGAAGGAATAGATATGGACTTAAATCATTCAGAACCAAGAAAACCACTGTGAGTTTATTAAGGTCCCTTGTTTTGTGCCCTTTACAACTGTGATAGTTCACTTCAGTGGTATGAAAGGTTGGGAAACGAACTGGCAGAGAGACTGACTGATTGATATGTGCCTGTCTTTTATTTCTTAAATACCAATCGGCACTCCATGGGTGATATAATCCAGCCCACGCCGGCAGCTTTTACCTCCCATAACTCTACCTGGTATCCCCTTTAGGCTAGGGCGACCTGGGAGCCAAGGTCATGTTTGGAAACAATCCGAATCATGGAGAATTCGAGCTCAGCATTTCTGAACGGAGTGGAGCGTCAAGTCCCTACACCACTTCTGCTCCTAGTTAAACAAATATTAGGTCGCTCACTGAAGTAAGTGGAGGGATATAAGGACACTAGGATGCACGCAAATCTAAAGCTATAGTTACCATACCGCGAATAGAAACTATCAGGTCCAAATGTCAACAACGCCTCGAAGTAGTAACACAGAAACGTTGACCCATGGTCAACTTAAAATCTCTGCCAGATTGTTATATTGTCTATGTCTTTCTATATCTCTATCAGATTGTTATGTTATCTGTGTCCTTCTATATATCTCTCAGACTGTTATGTTGTCTATGTCCTTCTATATCTCTATCATATTGTTATGTTGTCTGTATCCTTCTATATCTCTATCAGATTGTTATGTTGTCTATGTCCTTCTATATCTCTATCAGATTGTTATGTTGTCTGCGTCCTTCTATATATCTCTCAGATTGTTATGTTGTCTATGTCATTCTATATATCTCTCAGATTGTTATGTTGTCTATGTCCTTCTAGATCTCTATCAGATTGTTACGTTGTCTGTGTCCTTCTAAATATCTCTCAGATTGTTATGTTGTCTATGCCTTCTATATCTCTGTCAGATTGTTATGTTGTCTATGTCCTTCTATACCTCTGCTACTTTTTATGAATCCCAATATTTATCCGAAGATGTAATTGCGTTATGCCGGTTTACAGAGCGGCGGCGATAGTTGCGCCTTTTGGCCAGCCGAAACATCAGACTTCTGAAGGCCAATCAATATATTTATGTTTGTTTATTGTATGCCTCGAAGGTTTCTCTTTCTGTTTATTTCATTCATATCATCGCTGCACAGACTTCTTACTAATTGTTGGTTGTCCTGTGTGAGATCTGCGTTGCCAAGAAACCCATCAAAGTACACATCTCCATGCTCATCCGCTTTAGCTTCAGACAGGATGTACTTGGTCATGCTTCCTTTAGCAACATTCTGAAGCACTTCATGAACCTCCTCCATCACCTGTGGGTGTAAGACGTTAGTAGAATTGTTATGAAATGTGTTAGGCAGACGAAAACGGAGAAGAAGATGCAAGCATTACCTCAGAGGCCGTGGGTTGTAAGCTACCCTTCAACCTTTTCTTCAGGTATCCTGGTGTGTTGGGAAACGAACAGGCAGACAGACTGAGTGGTTGCACATTACTTCCTTTTTATTTTATGGGAAGGGATATGTTGACAATGCATAAAGGGCTGTATAACGAAACGAAAGAATAAGATTCTGCCTAAAAAATCGGGGGAGGAGGATGGGAAAGAAAAAAAAAACCTAATTTTGAAAACAAAAAAATCAAAAGGAAATTAAATAAAGGTACCCTGAATATTAATTCAGCAGGACTTGAGACGAAAAAAAAATGACAGGCGACTGGTTTGAGCACCGGAGCAAGATTGTATGCCAAGTAGTGATATGTCGATTTCGCTCTAATGGTCAGAACTCCAGTGAATGTTGTAGCCAGAAGTAGAAACCTTGTTGAAAATAGAGTTGTGCATTGGGTATAAATAATGAGTTCACCTAGAAATTGCAGCCAAAATAACGCCTACACATGTGACGTCACTACCACAGTTTATTTAAAAGACACGTGCATTTTGTTTTATAGTTTAGACATATATAGATGTGTATGCATGTGCCTGTGTGTGTGTGAGAGAGAGTGAGAGAGGGAGAAAAAGAGAGAGAGGGGGGAGGGAGAAGTATAGTCAGTCAGTAAAGACAGCAACAGATACATTTACTAACACAAAAAAAGAAAAGAAAAAGAAGCCAAAGAAAGATGAAGCGAAGAAAAGATCTTTTTTGATAAGTAAATTTTAAAAAGCGATATGAATGAACAAAATTCACGCGCAGGTTTGAGATCACGATAACCAAAGCCAGCAACAACACGTACCTGTACAGGCAATGGTCTTTGAACTCTGGCGGCATCCAGCGCTGCCACGGTCTTAGAAACCATCCAGTAAAACTGCATTTGTGATGGATAAAACGGCATCGTCAGTTCCGGTCTGCTGGACAAGTTGGTTTGTATCTCATAGGCAATCAAGGTGGAGGCGTTGTGGTAGATTTGCTGAAAATAGTTATTACATCGCTTAAGACAGAGTTTATCAAACATTTCTTACTCAATAAAAAGTCAGGCTATTCTCCAAATAAAGGGCACAAAAGATGGCGGCCGCAAAAATTTCCCAACGAGCCTCAGTCACGTGTCAATTGCGCACTTCCGGTGACTAAATTTGCGGTTTTCCGGCAACTACCGCCACCGCCACGAGTCTCGCAGGCCGCTCACGCGGCGTGGATTGGGCTTAAACTAGATGGCTAGGACTCACGAGCAAAGTTGCAGGAGATGAGGAAGCTGCTGCTCGTGAGTCCTAGCCATCTAGTTTAGCCCTAATCCACGCCGCGTGAGCGGCGTGTGGGACTCCCGGCGGGGCGGTAGTCGCCGGACAACCGCCGGAAAACAGCAAATTAAGACGCTAGAAGTGCGCAATTGACACGTGACTGAGGCTCATTAGGATATTTTGCGGTCGCCATCTTTTGTGACCGTTATTCAAAGGATAGCCAAAAGTCTTTTCCATGGCGCCCTAACCCAAGTAAAAGTATGACTATTCGTATGTAGAATTTAAAAAAAAAAAAAAAAACTTAAAATTTTTCGCAGCGCTCCTGCGAAGAGGTCGTAACTCCCCGGGGCGTCGCGGCGTACAGTTTAGGAATCACTGACATCCAGACAGAAGTGTGACCGTCAAATGGCAGATAAAAACAGAATCTTCGTGCTAACACTGTGCTACCAGTGCCATAGATAATATAAACGGTCGCCTACATTAGATTAACATCTGTGTGATGAGATGCGTGAGAAAAGCCGTCGTTGTTTCAACTATTTCAGACCATGTGAGAAATGATACTATCACATTACAGGAAAATGACGTTTAAACAATCTTTTTTTGTTGTTGTTGAGAAGTTGCATACCAACATTCCTTGTTCTACAACAACTGTTATTATGGTATATAATAACGTCACGTTTATTTGGGCAAGATCAAATGTTTCGGTAATCCAGTAGACTGCAGACACCAGACCTGCCAACACAGAGGCTACATTTAAAATCTGATGTGAGAGCAAGAGGCCTGCTGCCAAGGCGAAGATGGACTGGTGACCTTTAAGACATTGTGTATCCACACAGAAAGACTATAGCCAGTGCCGTACATCCAGCACTATATCATCATCTGGACCTCTCCATGTTAGTTAAGTCAAAAACGGGAGTTCATGATGATAATTATTTTTCTAATATTTTGACTCATGTTGGACAAAGCACTGCGAGGATCACCTCCAGATAAGGCTGGCAGTGCTGCTTTGTTTTCACGACTGTTAAAGCTCAAAATCTGGATTATTACAGGTAAAAATGGACTCATTTCAAAATTGCTAGACGCCCCTTTTGAAACGTTCTCACGCCCAACCCCGGTCACCCAGGTTCCGGACCAGTGATCTACACTTTAAGACATTTGAAGATGTAGATGGAACATCTATTGGTCTTCTCATGTATGCTACGATTCGGTAAAACGAAATATGGGAGCTTTGGCATATTGAGACTTTCAAAAGGGGAGAGAGGATGCTAAACTGGCCTTTAACCATTTTTGTTTTGTTTTTTTTTTGTTTTTGCTTTTATATATAATGGTGTTAAACAAAACATTGTTGAATTTATTTGTCATTCAGCACACTATTATGCTTATTGTTATTATTATTATTATTATTATTATTATTATTATTATTATTATTATTATTATTATTATTGCTGCTGACATCTTTGAGCTCTTAAATAAATCTAGCCCTAACACCCCACCCTTTTTTCCACACAATACATAAGGGAGATCAGATACCAACCATACCCCATGTTTTCCTTACGCCCCTTTTATGATTTGATGTTGATTCTTGAAAAAGTAATTAGTAAACCTAATATATTCCATATCTCTTCTCTTAAGGATGATCCTGCGACAGGTCCTGCAAGCCAGTAGAGAATGTATTTGTTCACGTGAAATTGCTCAAGAATTATGGAGGAATTTGGAGACAAAGCGTACTTCAATTAGCGCTCACATCAGACACACGATAAACCAAACAGTTTTCGACAGCAAGCGAATGACGACAAAGGAGCGACATCAGCAAACTAATGACGGCAATAAGCGAAAATTCAGAAACAGGCAGGAAATATTCAGAACTTGGAATGTTAGCGGTTCGGCCAACAGAGAACCAGAGTTAGTGGAATTCGTGAAGAAATCAAATACTCAAATACCAGGATTTGCGTATATGAGAAGAAAGGGACACAATACGAAACGAATACACAAGAAATATTTTCTGATATGGAGCGATGTCGAACAAAGAGCGACAGCTAAACATGGAGTTGGTTATTTTCAAAAACTTCTCAACCCCGCAGGCAACATAGATAATTTTAACATTGAACCTCAAACCTGCAAACAAGAGAAACCAAATTTCATAGCAGCGAAAGTAAGAGCAGTTATACAGGATAGCCCTAGAAACGAAGCACCAATTCTGGATGGATTTAATACAGGAAGAATTCTAGAATGCGGGGAAGTGGGTGTTAAATGGCTAACTAGAATTTTAAATATAGCTTGGAAAGAAAGAAAATATCCCGCTGAGAGGCAACAGGCATTAATAGTACCATTATGGAAAAAAAAAAAGGTAATAGGAGAGAATGTGAAGCATACAGAGGTATATCACTACTGAGTCACGTAGGGAAAATGTACGCCAAACTACTAGAACAGACAGTTAGACCCATAGCCGAACAACAGTTGAGTGCATCACAATTAGCTTTCAGAAAAGGCAGAGGATGCACAGATGCATTATTCACTATGAGGCAAGTGTGTGAGAAAGCCATTGAGTATAATACCCAACATAATATTGTGTTTGTAGATCAGGAATAGGCTTTCTATAGAGTGGATAGAAATAAACTCTGGGCTGTTCTTGAGAACTACGCGGTAGAAGGACAGTTACTAGAGAACATCATAGTCATGAACATCATAGTCATGTACCACACAAGCCAAAGTGCAGTAAGAACACAAGAATGCATTTCAGACATGTTCACAGTGTGTGACAGGAATGTGTGCTCTCCCCACTTTTATTTAACATTTATATAAACAGAATATCGAAAGAAGCAAGTTCTGATACAGACAACATATTTTTTTAAATCATAAAGTACACACATCAGAAGAAATAATAGATTCACCCACATTAAATGAACTACTATTTGCTGCGAAAAGTGATTGTTCTACCCTGAAGAAGATAGACTGAAAGACCATATTAACAGTTTAAACTCAGCATGCAGTCAATACAATATGAAGATCAATGCAAACACAACAAGCAATGCAAGTTGGTAGAACCTCTGACCCACTACACACATAGTTGTGTGGTTCGAAACTGAATCAGATTAATCATCATCATGTAGCAGGTCCTTTGAGGAACGTCGCTCTCATCACAGTCTGTCTGTAAGAAACTCGGTCTCTTGCCAGTTCTCCCGCCTCATGAACTTTCACACTTAATGAGTCACTTATATTCTGTGCCCATCTTCGTGTCGGTCGGCCTCTGCCCCTCCTTCTTGGTACCATGCCTTCTGCTATAATTTTTTCCAATGCGTCGTGGCGCTTGATATAACCAAAATATTTCAGCTTTCGAGAAAGGATGCTGTTTATTAGCCAATCTTCCTCGATGTTCAGATCTTTTAAGATGTCAATATTTGTCATCTTCTTTGTCCAAGATATTCTGAGAATCTTTCTATAGCATTTCAGCTCAAAAGCCCCTATTCTCTTTCTTAAGGACTGAGAGATAGTCCACGACTCACATCCGCATGAATCAGATAAGGGAGTTTAAATATCTAGGAAGCATGATCAAGGAATATGGTAGAATTGACAGAGAAATAGAAACCAGATGTCAGAAAGCGAGTGCACTTATACGCCAATTGTCACCATTATTAAGACATCCAAACATAACAATGAGTGCAGAGAGACAGATTATAAACAGCATATTCATTCCAACATTAAGCTACTAGTGCCAAACATAGACACTATATAAAGCCCATTTACGCAAAATCACCACCTGCGAGATGAGATGCCTGAGAAAAGCACCCAACCTAACCATCAGAGATCAAGTGAATAACGATACTATCAGGCAAATTGTGTGAACGACACCTTGTACTAGATTCATCGAGAAACAGCAGAAGAAGTGGTTTGGTCATCTCGTTAGAATGCAACAAGATTAAATGTCAGTCATTACAAGCACTACATCTCAGAAGATCAGCTGCAAGAGCAAGAGGACGGCTGCGGAAAACTTGGATCGACAACATTAAAGACACTCTACGCCTTCACGGCATGACAATAGCCAGTGGCAGCCAACGTGCACTGGATCGCAAATCAGTCCTCCCCACGTCGCTTAACGGCGGAAGTGGTTTATGATGATGATGGTGATAATGATAAAGATCTCTTCCCACCTCTGTTGCCTTGATTGGGAAAAATGGGATGCTATATTTTAACAACTTACAGCAATGGCCGCGTCGTGGAGACTTTCTGGGCTGATCAGTCCTGACAGAATAGACACTGTGATTCCATAGACCACGTTAGCACAGATCAATACATCTACGTTGTTGATGTTTTCTGGCATTTGTACCCCCTTCTTTGATTCTGTTTTTAATTCCGCCGTATTTTGAGACTGTATTTAAAGAAAGAAAAAAAGAACAATACTATATGTCATAGTAACCTAGGCAACGACCAAGCACAACTGGATTTCTGTTGAGCTGAACAGAATAAAGAACTGATTTAATATCACTCGGAACATTTCCGAATATACCGCGTCCTCATCTTCAGCAGCCAGTGAAGAGTTTCAGTGCTGATCTACAAGTAGCACTTTGATTATAAACTCGTCTTGCCTTTCCCGTGAGTCTAAATGGTGGACACAGTCCCCTAGTCAGCCCCCATTGTACCATCTCTATACACTAGTGGTCTCCAATCTTTTCCAGGATTGCTTTGCCCCTCCCCCCCCCCCTCCCCCAACCCCCAATGTGATTTAAAAGAGGACAAAAATCCCAAGCACTGTTAACAAGAGCTTGGAGCATAATATCCACATAAATCCAAATAAAAGTAAGTAAAAAAAGTAAAGATCCCTTTACACGCCATTAGGTGCATCGGGCATATGGGAAGAGCACCCATATTTTTACACACTAATCGGCACTTGGTGGGTAATGTGGTCAGCATTACGCCGGCCGTCTTTACTTCCCCAGGACAGCCATCGTGGTACCCATTTGAGGCTGGGTCGACCTGCGACGTCCCATACCACGATAAAAAGCCACGCAGTAAATCCAAATAGCTTTTTTTTAAAAACTTACAACTTCTAATTTAGTGTCTAGATATCAATGGGATGCTTGGTGCTGTTTTGTATTGATGATATCTGCTAGTATGGGTCTTAAGGGCACGACCAAACCATAATTACACTGCACATCAAGCTGATTTGTTTTCAAGACTGTTGATGAAAATCCGGATTCATAAAAGCTATGTGAAATTAAATGGCAAAAAAATAATATTTACTTTATTTAGCCACATTAGAGTGCATTGCAAGATACTGCATTAAAAAACTATAATGGAGGGTGCCCTAGTTGCAGAAACAAATATTCACAATAATTTTAATAGAGAGAGCTTCAGATCAAAGTTTTAAAGTAAGAGCAACGATTGTTTTTTACAAAACATAAATGAATTTGAATAGAAAAAGCAGAAGTGGAAAATGAAAAGAAGAGAGAAGGGAGAGGAGGAAAAGACGAAGATTGATGAGGAGATAAATCAATAAGTAAATAAATAAATAAATAAATAGAAAGAAGTAGTAGAAGTTAAATAAAAGGAAGAAGAAAAATACGACGACGAAGAAGAAGAAGAAGAAGAAGAAGAAGAAGAAGAAGAAGAAGAAGAAGAAGAAGAAGAAGAAGAAGAAGAAGAAAATGAAGAGAAAGAAAAGGAAAAATAATAATAATGATAATAATTAGTTAGTTAGTCTTTCCTCTAGTGTCGAGTGCGGCACATAGGGCAGAGGTCATGACTCTCCATGCATGGCGGTTCGTTGCAATCTGTTGTAGGTCTTGGATGTTTGAGTGGCCCATGAGCGAGCCTTCCCTGATGATAGTTCTACGTAGTTTCCCTTGGTCTTCCATGAGATCTTTTCCCCTGTGGTGTCCAAATGAGGGCTTGGTGAGGAAGTCTTGATTTATCCATTCTAAGGGCGTGGCCGACATAGTTCCAGCGGCGTTTTCGTATAAAAATAGACACATACTCTTGCCTGGATTCTTGCCTTATTTGTGCATTGGTTCGGAAATCTGACCATTTGAAATTTAGTATTCTTCTAAGGCATTTATTTTCAAAACTGTCTAATTTTGTGTCTACAGTTTTCGTTGATTTCCAGCTCTCGCATCCATAGGTTAGTACTGGAATCACACAAGAATTGAAGATCTTGAGTATAATAATAATAATAATAATAATAATAATAATAATAATAATAATAATAATAATAATAATAATAATAATAATAATAATAATAATAATAATAACAATAATAATAAGAAGAAGAAAAAGAAGAAGAGGAAGAAGAAAAAGAAAAAGAAAAAGAAGAAGAAGAAGAAGAAGAAGAAGAAGAAGAAGAAGAAGAAGAAGAAGAAGAAGAAGAAGAAGAAGAAGGAGGAGAAGAAGAAGAAGAAGAAGAAGAAGAAGAAGAAGAAGAAGAAGAAGAAGAAGAAGAAGAAGAAGAAGAAGAACAACAACAACAACAACAACAACAACAACAACAACAACAACAACAAGAAAAAGAAAAAGAAGAAGAAAAAGAAGAGGAGGAAGAAGAAGAAGAGGAAGAAGAAGAGGAAGACAAAGAAGAAGATCAGAAGATCAAGAAAAAGAAGAAGAAGAAGATCAGAAGAGGAACAGAGGTAGGAGGACCCCCGTGTGGGTTCCGGGGCCCCATTGTGGGGAAAACAAGAATAGACCCACTGCCTCCCCAAAAGCATGTCGTAAGAGTCGACTAATTGGGGAGCTTCCTTTGAAGTCGGAGTGCATCTACCGGAGGGGCAAGGAACCAACAGTCTGTATTCAAGAGAATGAGATATGTAAAACTGATGCACACACAACACTCAGGTTCTGGAGCAGGACTGCAGTTCAGTAGTGGACGAGCAACCAGATCTTTCCGCCAGAGTGTACAGCTGGTGAATGCGAAGAAGAAGAAGAGAAGAGGTAGGAGGGATGAGAAGAAGTAGGAGTATATGGAGGAGGAACGATAACCACACATACCCAAGTGGTTGGTAATGCCACATCTTTGCCAGCAGCTTTAGCCTCATCTAGAAAGAATCTGACGAACATGTACGTCCTGGGATCGATTACATCTTTTTGTGGATCGTTGTGGAATGGTCTGTAAGCATATTTCTTCAGGGCATCGAAAACTAAAAAAAAAAAACAGTGAACAGTATTTATCAAACAGTACAATACTAAAAGAAACTTTTAAATAGGTATGTGCTATACAAAGTCATGTCATATTCAACATGGATTAACCAGTAATATATCCTTGTGCAATATATCCTTGTCATTGAGAGTTAGAGAAAGAATTCTTGCCTGCTACATACATCCAGTTTTAACATATGGCTGTGAATCCTGGACAATCAGTAGGAACCAGGCACTATAAAATGTGAAGACCATCGCACAATAAGTCTTATGTGTCACATGACTAAGATTTTACTGAGAATAATTATGAGAAGAATAAGAAACAAAATTAAACCAGAAATCAGCGATGAACAATGTGGATTTGTAGAAGGAAAAGGTACAAACAATGCCATATACATCCTAAGGACATTGTCAGAAAGAGCTATAGAAGTAAAGACTGATTTGTACATATGCTTCATAGACTATGCAAAAGCGTTTGACTGTGTGAAGCATGAAGAAGTAATCAAACTGTTAGAAAAATTAAACATTGATGGGAAAGATCTAAGAATAATAAAGAATATGTATTGGCACCAAACAGCAGCTATAAGAATTAACAACTGTTTAGGTACATTTCAAAGCATAAAGAAGGGCGTACGTCAAGGATGTGTACTGTCACCTGATTTGTTTTCAATATACAGTGAATATATAATAAGAGCTTTAATTGGTATGCCCGGAATTGTGGTTGGTGGGCACAATATAAATAATTTACGTTATGCTGATGACACAGTCTTGATAGCAACAAGTCAGAATGAACTACAGGAAATGATAGTCATTGTGGTGTTAGAAAGTGGAAGAATGGGCCTCAGTTTGAATAATGGGAAGACAGAAGTAATGGTGGTATCAAAGAAACGAATTATTCCTAAGTGTGTAATAAAAGTTGATGGTGTTATTTTAGGTCAAGTACAGAAATTTAAGTATCTGGGCACATGGATAACATCAGATGGAAGATGCATAACTGAGATAAGAAACAGAATAAGACAGGCAAAAACTGCATTTTATAAAATGAAAAACATCTTGTGCAATATATCCTTGTCATTGAGAGTTAGAAAAAGAATTCTTGCTTGCTACATACATCCAGTTTTAACATATGGCTGTGAATCCTGGACAATAGGTAGGCAGGCCAAACAATTCCTGGAGGCCTCGGAGATGTAGTTTTTCAGAAGAATGCTTAGAATACCTTGGACAGCCAAAAAGAGCAACCAAGAGGTTTTGAAAAAGGCGGGAGCCCGAAGACAACTTATCACAGACATCAGAAGGAGACAGTCATCATTTTTCGGCCATGTTATGAGAAGAGGGAAATTAGAACATGTTGTGACCACTGGAAAGATATGTGGAAGGAGAGATAGAGGTAGACAACGAGAGAAGATGCTTGACAGTCTTGTTGCATGGCATGGAGGTGTGTCGGCACACGAACTGATACATGCTGCAGGAGATCACAGATTATGGAGAGGCAGGATCGCCCACGCCAGTCGGCAAGGCACCTGATGATGATGATGATGATGATGATGATGATGATGATGCCAGAAAGGAGGAGCAGGGGCCGATCAACACAAAGATAGGCACAGGATTTAAGTGACTCCTTGACTATAAAAGTGCATGAGGAAGAAGAGCTGGCGAGAGACCGAGTTTTTCTTTTCAGGCAGACCGTGATGAGAGCGACGTTCTGCAAGGGACCTACCACATGATGGGAGTATAAGACTTAATATAATGCATGGAACAACCATTTATCTCATAACGACATCATAATACGCAGCGGTAATTAACGTCTTCTTCTTGGCGTTCGGTTTCCTAACTTAAGGTCATACTGTTAGGTGGTCTACCAATGCGTATGTCAGTTACAGGTGGTCCATAATTTTCCATAGCTTGCACTGCACTTGTTGCTCTTGGGCCCAGGTTTCTGTTGGTAGGTGTAAGTATAGTGGGCAGGCCTGAGGATTGGGCTCAAGAGATCTCATCTAACATACTCACTGTGGGGAAGTATTTATTTTATGCGTGTGGTAGCTGAATATGCAGTGACCTGTCCTTAGACAGAAAATTAGTGTAATTTTGTCTGTTGAATTTGTTGATGGGATTTTGTCAAAGTTCACTGTTGGTTTTTCCCCCCCTTTCTCTCCACACTTTCCTCTATTTCCCCTGATACGTGATTTGGTTTATGGTAGTGATAATAAAAGGGTCTACTGTTTCTCTTTTGATCTGAACTGACAAAAAGCCACACAGGTAAAAAATTCTGCTGTTTCGTTCTTTTCCTAAGTAGCTTTGTTGCATCACTAATTGCTTGCTGCTATGCTTAGAAGGTTTCTTGCCTAAGACACTTCACGGTTTCACTGTGGTCCCATCTTGCAGCCTGACGACCGAACCAGCAAATTCGTTTTTGTTTTTGTGTTTTTGTTAATTAATGTACATCATGAATTCGCCGGTAATGTAGTATAAAAAAGGCATTCAGTAGTAAGGCAGTATATTACAATCACCATCGTTATTATAGTCGTCATCACGGAGAGTTGGTGAAGGAGAAGGAGAAGGAAAAGAGGAAAAGAAGAAGAAGAAGAAGAAGAAGAAGAAGAAGAAGAAGAAGAAGAAGAAGAAGAAGAAGAAGAAGAAGAAGAAGAAGAAGAAGAAGAAGAAGAAGAAGAAGAAGAAGAAGAAGAAGAAGAAGAAGAAGAAGAAGAAGGAGAAGAAAAAGAAGAAGAAGAAGAAGAAGAAGAAGAAGAAGAAGAAGAAGAAGAAGAAGAAGAAGAAGAAGAAGAAGAAGAAGAAGAAGAAGAAGAAGAAGAAGAAGAAGAAGAAGAAGAAGAAGAAGAAGAAGAAGAAGAAGAAGAAGAAGAAAGAAAAAGAAGAAGAAGAAAAAGAAGAAGAAGAAGAAGAAGAAGAAGAAGAAGAAGAAGAAGAAGAAGAAGAAGAAGAAGAAGAAGAAGAAGAAGAAGAAGAAGAAGAAGAAGAAGAAGAAGAAGAAGAAGAAGAAGAAGAAGAAGAAGAAGAAATAGGAGGAGGAGGGCAAGAATGAATAGGGGGACTTGGAAGTGAAGGAGAAAGAGATGTTGGGAGATGAAACAAATAGAACAAGAAGAGTGCATACCCGTTATGTACAGTATAAAATAAGAAGGTCACTAATGGGAGCATACTTGATGTCAGCCATCGATTAACATATTCTTTGTTTGTGTCAGACCTAGTTGTCAATTGTTTTAACGATTTACTTACTTGATGTCGGGTTGTTAAATTGTTTTTCCCAAAGCTTGAATGCCTGCGGGAACTGGTATCTCATTTTAAACAACAGAGAACCAAACTCAAGGTTGATAAATGAATCATCAGTATCAGGGCAAAGATGAAAGATGTGCTTGTATACTTCTCTGTAAACATTATATAACATGCTAGTATAAAAGATGTGCCCTGGTGCGTCTTTGTAAAGAAGTAAATTCATAATCAAGCTATTACGAAAGAGGTGCTTGGATACTTTTGTTTAACATCCTAACATTTATCATTATCACCATCATCATCATTAACCACTTCTGCCGTTAAGCGCCGTGGGGAGGAATAATTTGCGATCCAGTGCACGTTGGCTGCTACTGGCTATTGTCATGCCGTGAAGGCGTAGAGTGTCTTTAATGTCCACGGCCGTCCTCTTGCTCTTGTAGTTGATCTTCTGAGATGTAGTGCTTGCGATGGTATTTGATCTTGCTGCATTCTAACGAGATGGCCAAACCACTTGATCTGCTGTTTCTCGATGAATTTAGTACAAAGTTTCGTTCCCACAGTTTGCCTGATAGTTTCATTATTCACTAGATCTCGGATGGTTAGGTTGGCTGTTTTTTCTCAGGTACCTCATCTCGCAGGTGGTGATTTTTGCGTATATGGGCTTTAGATAGTGTTCATGTTTGGCACTGACAGCTTAATGTTGGAATGAACATACTATTAATAATCTGTCTCTTGGCACTCATAGTTATGCTTGGATGTCTTAATAATGGTGACACTTGGTATATAAGGCACTTGCTTTCTGACATCTGGTTTCTATTTCTCTGTCAATTCTACTATCTTCTGTGATCATACTTCCTAGATATTTAAACTTTCTAACTTGATTCAGGGCAGAACCATTCAGCTGTATGTGTTGTGGGGCAGCTGAATGAATTTTATTTACATATCATCTATATAAATAAAAATGTACCGTTTGTGACTAATAGTTAATCTCCGAAAGATTTTCACCGATTACTTTGAAATTTTCGCACAACGTTGCATTCAAACGCGTGCGTGTTTTTATATAAAGTGTCGCACAAATTACGAACTACATATCTCCAGCGACAATCACATCAGCATCTTGGTTTCGTTTTCTGACGATCCGATGTTTTATTCGGCCTTCCGGACGGATCCACAGGTTCTCAGATCTTTTCCTCGATAGCCCTAGAAGCGCAGAAACCACAAGTGAAGCCCGTTCTGTAGTGATTAATCAGACGACTCTTGCCCTAGGTGAAATATTGTCTGGCTGCTCCAGGCTGCACTCACATTTCCACCACCCTCGACACGACCTTCTTCACAAGATGCATTTCACTTCACATTAATGACATCACTACTCTCCGTGACGGGGAACTCAGAGTAACCGCCTTGACATCAAGAATAATCTGCTCAAAGTAACAACACTAGTAGTAGTAACAGAATAGTAGTATTTTTTGTTGTGGTTTGCCGAGTGGTGATGATTTTAAAACTGTGCCGTCAGCCTCCTCCTCCTCCCCTCCTCTCCTCATTATCATCCCCATGGGTCATGCCAATAGTTGAAGGCTGTCATGTTTTACCACCTTATAAAATTACTAGAACCAAGGATGACTGCAACTGATTATCTGTATGATACTTGTACGTTAAAAATGTATTTTGATAAAGTATTATTTCCAGTTTTTTTTTTTTTTTTGTGGTACACAATGATACGCAGTACCAGCACCTTTCTATGTACCATTTTTGTTTGGCAACTTTTTTGTATGGACACTTTCGAATACAAACACGGTGCTCAATAGCAGACTGGTGAAAGTTCTGTCAACGCGAATTGCATACAGAAGAGAAAATACGAGTGTTTTCCAATGAAGACTTTGAAAGTGTGATAGAAAACAACTGGTCAACAAATTGTCAACAGTTTTTTGGTACCAGAATTTAAATACATCATTTCTATTTGAATTTGACATGTTGATTTCAGATATCTTAATGAAATGTAGCAATTAGCTCAAGATTTTTTTTATAACGAATTTACATTACAGTAATACAAATAATGTAAGGTTTTTTTTAAATCCTTGGAGTGAACAGTTAGTCTTTCTATTTCAGCTTTATAAAAATGGTCGTTGCATACTCAGTTATTAGATATTTCAACATAAAATGATAGAAAGAATAAATAAAATAAAAACTGTTTAAAGTTCACATATAATGTTTTAAATAAGGACCATTTAAATCTTTTCCGTCATTGCTCAAGCACTTTTCGAGCTCGCTTTGCTTGCTTTTTGTAGTCAATCGATGTGGTGTCTCTTGTCACAGTCCAGCAGTAATGAGCGAGCAGTGAAAGGCTCTAGTTGCCTTGATACCTGGTCTCCTAGGCCGCAATGTCCTGATGAATTCGTTCACCGTGTTCATCACTGACCGCTCCACAGTTCGACGCAAAGGAATCCAAATAAGAATGAAGAAAACGAATTTCCAAAGACATGCTGCAACCACGACTCTCATTCTACAGAAGGAGATTTTCTCATTGTATTTATCAGATCTGTTGTTTCCAAGACAATTGTCCACTACTGACTTCAGTGCTGGCTACGCTGCTTTTCCCTTGCCATGCAACACAGAAAGAAACTTCTCATCGTGGAGAAGTTTTCGAATTTGGGGACCAACAAATACTCTCTCTCTCTTAGTTTAGCTTCTATTAGTCTTGAACATTTTCTGATGAGATATTTGAAAGCATCTTATGTTTTCTCCATGGCATTGACACAGTTTTTCTCGAGAGCTAGCCTAATAGTTGACAAGGGTGGCAACACAATCTTGCTGGTGTCCACAAGCGCTGGATTCCTAGCCTAATAATTGACAAGGGTGGCAACACAATCTTGCTGGTGTCGACAAGCGCTGGATTCCTAGCCTAATAGTTGACAAGGGTGGCAACACAATCTTGCTGGTGTCGACAAGCGCTGGATTCCTAGCCTAATAATTGACAAGGGTGACAACACAATCTTGCTGGTGTCGACAAGCGCTGGATTCCTAGCCTAATAATTGACAAGGGTGGCAACACAATCTTGCTGGTGTCGACAAGCGCTGGATTCCTAGCCTAATAATTGACAAGGGTGGCAACACAATCTTGCTAGTGTCGACAAGCGCTGGATTTCTAGCCTAATAGTTGACTAAGGTGGCAACACAATCTTGCTGGTGTCGACAAGCGCTGGATTCCTAGCCTAATAATTGACAAGGGTGGCAACACAATCTTGCTGGTGTCGACAAGCGCTGGATTCCTAGCCTAATAATTGACAAGGGTGGCAACACAATCTTGCTGGTGTCCACAAGCGCTGGATTCCTAGCCTAATAATTGACAAGGGTGGCAACACAATCTTGCTGGTGTCCACAAGCGCTGGATTCCTAGCCTAATAATTGACAAGGGTGGCAACACAATCTTGCTGGTGTCGACAAGCACTGGATGGATTTTCGACGTTCTTGCTGCCAGGCTGCAATGACCGCCTGATTGGCCAATGTTTTCTGATGTGGTGGTTATGTCGTGCACGGCTATCCCGTTCACAGAGAAAGCAGCAGCACTTAGTACATCCACCCTGTAGTCCAAGTAAAAAGCGACCACTTTTAAATCGCCACAAAGTGACTTATGACGATGATCATAGTTTAGAAACTACAAAGGCTGCTTAATGTTGTCATACATTTTTTTCATGTGAACTGTGTGACCAACTAAAATCTTCTTGGGTGGCTTGAGTGATGGATTTGTTCAGCTTTCTGCAGGTTTCTGCTGCAGCATTTATCCGTCTCTCTCTTGGTCTTCCTATCGCCTTCTTCCAGATGTTTTGCTGTAAAAAGTCTCATATGCAGTCTAGTCTGGGTGTATTCTAACTTAATGGCTCAACCATTTCATTCTTTGTCTGTCAATATAATCCAGACATGGTCTTATTCCGACTTTCGCTCTCATGCTGATATTCGTAACCATGTCTCGTCTAGTGTTGTTAGTGACCTTGCGGAGACAGTCCATTTCATATGTAGTTAATTTCTGTTCTAGTCACCTATTCATTTTCCATGTTAGGCACCGATAACATAAAGTAGGGATAAAGGTGCTACACATTATTTGCTGTTTTGCTGTAAGGGAGACATTTGGGTGTATAGACAGCCGGGCTATCTGGTAAGTGATCTGTAGAGACGCATTGCGCCTACGCCAGTTGGCAGGGCATATGATGATGATGATAACACAGCCAGCTGCAGAGAAGGTAATGCTAACTCTTTAGGGGTAAATGAGTCGTTATTTTAGGGCACCACATGCCAAGAGAGAAAACTGTCACCAGTGATGAGTTTACAAATCTTTACAAGAATCATCTTCAACCTGCAGATCCACACGACGCGGACGTCTGAGTAAATGTCGCTTTTGCTACATATGTAGACTTAAAGGATATAGTTCCGTTGCCTAGATACTGAGCTTAGTACATGGCGCGAATGAGATTTGGAATTTTCTTCGACTGTGCCGAAAGTGATTTTTGTTCTGAACCATATTCAGAAAATTGCGACCGGCCTGTTGCCAGGGCACCTGTGGCGCCTTTTGTGATTAATTGCGCGTGCGACTATTGGTCTGTTGTAATACTACTCCATCGACGATGAACTGCATTTGCAGTATCGGACTTTTTGTGTTGGCACTTCTGAAGGCTAACTTACGCATTCAGTGTATACTGTTAGATTTGCTAAAGCTGCAGTTTGTGTCAATTTTTTTTTTTTGGGTCACAAGGGACAGTTATGCACATTCTATGTGGTTTTCGTTGACATAGAAACAGAGCAACTATGAAGTGACCCATTTCCTATAAAGTTTGAGCTTTCACTCCCTGACTACCGGAAATAATATGGTAATAAATAAGGCAACACTGACGAGGCTACGACTTTACTAAGGGAAGAATTTATGATCAGCATCATCATTAACAGCATCTGGTAATTTAGTAATCTGGTAAACCTAGTTTCAGCTTCATAGCAAACGAGTCACCCCCTAGTTGCTCCGCTCCTGTGCCAACGAAAAACACACGCAGCTCACAGTGTGACGCCATGCACTCAACTCAGAAGCTGGGCGACGAAACTATATCCTTCCAGTCTACACATGAAGCAAAAATGCAACGGCCACCGTCTTGCAGAAGCACACACAAAAACATTTGGAACGGCTCAAAAAAAAAAAAAAAGTGGCCGTGCCTAGCGTCCATTTCGACCTGAAGCATTTTGTGAGGGTTAATAAACCGTCACCCCAGCAGTACCCTCACTATAAGCTGGGGAAGGGACTTAGGACATTACATCTACCAGCATGCGTCGCCCCTACAACGACCTGACTGCCTTCGTTAACGACTGTTCACCCAACAGCCATGCAGTTCTTTGGCACGAAGGAGTCACCTTGAACTTGGGTTTCGGCCTGCCGACTCCCTACCAGATGTTATTTTATGTTTTGTTATCACAATCGACGTCACTGCACATTGGGCATACCCATGCGTGCTTAGTCCTCTGAAGCAAAATGGCGCCTTAGAACCCAAACAAGAATGACTGCCTGATAATTGTAAAGCTAGCATGGATAGACGTCTAAAGTCATTGCCTAATCAACTAACAACTACTAACTTTCGTTTCACAATTTCCTTCAGGGAACTCGTCAGATTTGTCAAACCAAGCAAGTCTAAAAATTCTTCAAACAGATGGAAGGCTGTTGTGTCAGCCGTCTCCAGTGCATTCTGGATGTAAAACAAAGTAAAATAACTTATTAAACTGCTGTGTGTGCTGTAGACTACTACAGAAAAAGCACTTAACAGTCAAACTGAATTACTGGAATTGTTGATATAATAGAAAGATATGTCTGTTTCACGAAAGCAACAATCAAATGCAGTGGTTCTGAAAACAAAAGTAGAAATGAACATTCATATAAATATTTTCTAAAAATATTTTTCAGGCACATTAAGAGACATTACACTTTATATATATATATATATATATATATATATATATATATATATATATATATATATATATATATATATATATATATATATAAAGTTGCTGGAGGTAAGAGAGCAAGAGGTAGACAGTGATGTAAGTGGGAAGGTAACATCTATAGATGGACAAACAGCAGTCTTAGACAGTGTACAATAAAAACGAACAGCGAGTTGAGAGACCATTGCAATTGTGTACACAGTACTTGACTGATTATGGAGAACACCTAGCAAATTTATCATAAAGCTCTGTACTACACTAAAGGCAATGGCCAGTAGGCAACCTGTTGAAAATATGTCTATCTAGACACAAAAACCCTATCACTGTTAGAGCCCACATTGGCGTTTAATGTAACAACAACAATAATCAAGTAGTTGACTTCAGATGTGGGTCGCTTGATCACATAATCCGCCCGAATGCCATATACTTTTTGGCCTTATTGTTGCGTCCAAGGCGTAACCGGGTCCGAACCCTAAACTTCTGGTACAAGCTCTTTCCTGAGCCCTTGTTATATACATTTCAACCCCTGTGCCTATGCACGGCCCTAGTGTGCTGATACAGACCACGTCGCTGAGCTCCTTTTCCTTGGTACAATAATCATGACATAGCTTGCTTCTTCTTCTCCTTCAAAGGCTATATCCCCTTTAGTAACAACCTCATCGCGAATATACAGGTAATCGGATGATAAGTGATTTGGCAAATATTAAGAACATTGGGCTATAACTGCAAAACATGTTAACTGACAACTATTATTATATACTATAGCTAGACTTTCGTCAAGTTAAACAAGTAATCACAAGTAAACTAACATAGTTCTCAAAATCGTATCCGTCACTACGTTTCTAAATCAAATATAAGAAATTCTATCGGTCAGAGTGCGTCCGTCCTGTCTCCTGTCTCCACAACACTTCTCCGTTAACTTCTCGAGCCTCTTTTGAAACGAAGACTATCTGCTCTAGTGCTCAGTGCTCTTTTCAGTGGTCGTCTCCGTGTGCTGTAAACGCGCAGTCACACGTGATCATTCGGCGCTAGTCTGTCAGTCACTATCATCGCCCACAGTACGTCCATAGCCAAACAAACCTGTTATTATTCAATAGCTGTAAACGAGTATGATATTTTATCATCCACACGTGCCCTGCCCATCGGCGCTTTTGATCTTTGACGTTCAACATCACACGTTGTTTAGTCGGTTTGTGAGCTGTTGTTGAGGTGTCTGGTGCACCTATGTATCTGCCCGACCAGCTGCGATGATAGTCCTTACTAATCACAACCACCTTGATACTTTAGCACTCCTGTTTGTGTGTCTGCGTTTGTTTCTGTGGGTGTGTCCTTGTGTGCATGCGTGTATCTGTATGTATGTATGTATGTATGTATGTATGTATGTATGTATGTATGTATGTATGTATGTATGTATGTATGTATGTATGTATGTATGTATGTATGTATGTATGTATGTATGTATGTATGTATGTATGTATGTATGTATGTATGTATGTATGTATGTATGTATGTATGTATGTATGTATGTATGTATGTATGTATGTATGTATGTATGTATGTATGTATGTATGTATGTATGTATGTATGTATGTATGTATGTATGTATGTATGTATGTATGTATGTATGTATGTATGTATGTATGTATGTATGTATGTATGTATGTATGTATGTATGTATGTATGTATGTATGTATGTATGTATGTATGTATGTATGTATGTATGTATGTATGTATGTATGTATGTATGTATGTATGTATGTATGTATGTATGTATGTATGTATGTATGTATGTATGTATGTATGTGTGTGTGTGTATGTGTGTGTATGTGTGTGTATGTATGTATGTGTGTGGAATGTGCGTGTCTGTGTGGGTAGGTAGATATGTATGTGGGTGAATGGGTGTGTGTTTATGTGTGTGTGTGTGTGTTTATGTGTGTGTGTGAAGGTATGTGGATGTGTATATATGCGTGTTTAAATGAGTGGGTGGGTGTATGTGTGTATGTATGTATGTATGTATGTATGTATGTATGTATGTATGTATGTATGTATGTATGTATGTATGTATGTATGTATGTATGTATGTATGTATGTATGTATGTATGTATGTATGTATGTATGTATGTATGTATGAATGTATGTATGTATGTATGTATGTATGTATGTATGTATGTATGTATGTATGTATGTATGTATGTATGTATGTATGTATGTATGTATGTATGTATGTATGTATGTATGTATGTATGTATGTATGTATGTATGTATGTATGTATGTATGTATGTATGTATGTATGTATGTATGTATGTATGTATGTATGTATGTATGTATGTATGTATGTATGTATGTATGTATGTATGTGTGATGTATGTATGTATGTATGTATGTATGTATGTATGTATGTATGTATGTATGTATGTATGTATGTATGTATGTATGTATGTATGTATGTATGTATGTATGTATGTATGTATGTGTGTGTGTGTATGTGTGTGTATGTGTGTGTATGTATGTATGTGTGTGGAATGTGCGTGTCTGTGTGGGTAGGTAGATATGTATGTGGGTGAATGGGTGTGTGTTTATGTGTGTGTGTGTGTTTATGTGTGTGTGTGAAGGTATGTGGATGTGTATATATGCGTGTTTAAATGAGTGGGTGGGTGTATGTGTGTGTGTGCGCTAGTGTGTGTGCATGCATTTTACCACCCATACTTTATTTTTTCTCCCTTGATATTCACAATATGCATATTTTCATACGAATATAACATGCTTATTGATAAAATACAGCTGCAGTGTGAAAGTCGGGTGTATGGAAGGGCCGAATGTAAGATGGGCCTGTTTGCCCAGTTTGTAATCCTTTGAAAATAAAGTTCGTTCGTTCTCTCTCTCTCTCTCTCTCTCTCTCTCTCTCTCTCTCTCTCTCTCTCTCTCTCTCTCTCTCTCTCTCTCTCTCTCTCTCTTCTCTGACTTTATTAAACAGCTTGATGAGAATGTCTTTATCAACATTCTTCTTCTTCTTCACTTCCTCTTTTACCGCTGTGGGTGTCGAGGGAGATATAAGGTTCTGTTTCTAGCTCTTCTGGCTGCCTCGACCATAGGCACATCGTGCTGTTGTAGAGTTTCTCTGATGTTATCCTCCATCTTTTCTTGGTCTACCCCGTGCTCTACGTCCTTCTCTCTCTTTTCCATGTATTTGCTTTGTATGGTATGGTGTCACAAGGCATTCTCTCTAAGTGGGCAAACCATTTCACTTGCGTCTTTGTATTGTAATCCAGAATTGGTTCTGTGCCGACTTGTTCTCTTATGATCTCATTCCTGATCTTATCTCTTATGGTCACTCCTACAGCCCTTCTCAGACATCTCATTTCCGTGGTTACTAATTTCTTTTATGGTTTGTTGTGAGTGACCATGTCTGGCACTGGTAGCACAGAGTTGGAATAAATATGCTTTTGAATAAGATGTCTCTTTGTGCTGATTGGGATTGTCTTATGCTGTAAGAGGGGGGCTAGCTGTCCCAATACTTGGTTTGCTTTACTGCATCTAATGTCAATTTCTTTATCCAATTTTTTTTTGTTCTTCGGTAAATGTAGTTCCCAGATATTTAAAACTCAGATGCCTGTTTAATGCCTTTGTATTCTATTGCTATGTTTAGATCTGTCTTCTTTTTTCCGATTGACATTACTTCTGTCTTTTTCAGTGTTGATTCTCATATTATTTGTTTACATTCTTCATTCATGGATGTTAGATGTTGTTGCAATTTCATGGCTGTATCTGCTATCAAGGCCTGGTCATCTGCAAAGAGTAATTCGTTGATCTTACTAAGATCTTCATTCATGGGCTTGGCATTCTTGCATATACTGTCGATGTAGGTGATAAACAGCAGTGGTGATAAGACACACCCCTGTCTTACTCCCGATGTCACTGTGAAAGGATGAGATGTTCCCTGATTTATTCTAACTACACTTCTACAATCCCTGTATAAACTTTTGCACACTTCGATGATGTGTTCGCTTACTCCATATCTTGCCATTATTTTCCATAATAATTGTCTATCGACTCTGTCAAATGCCTTCTCCTGGTCTACGAATGCCACAAATAAGTTCTTATTGTATTCAATGTTCTTTTCTATTAACTGTTTAAGTGTGAAGATTGCATCTGTACAGCTTCTATTTCTCCTAAATCCCATCTGTTCTTCTGCCAGCTGTGGTTCTATCACTGGTCTCAGTCTTGTTTCTATTATCTTGGCATACATTTTGCCAACATGGCTTAAAAGAGAGATGCCTCGATATTGACCGCATTCTCGTTTGCTTCCTTTGTTCTTCCACAATGGTATAACTATTGCATGTTGCCAATCAATAGGGGCCGTTTGTTGTACCCATGCTGCATTGAATATTCTGTGAAGCCATCTGATATTGCTTTCACCTGCTGCTTGAATTATTTCTGTTGGTAATCTATCAGCTCCTGGTGCTTTATATTTGGGAAACTGTTTAATGACTTTTTCTATTTCATCCATTAGTATGTGTGGTTCTAACACTGTTGCTCTGTGCTCTTCAGTTGTTTTTTTCCTGATGATCTCCTAGAGGATTAAAGAGCTCATTGAAGTATTCCCTCCATCTTTCTGCTATCTCGGGTGGATCTATCAATGGCCTTCCTGTCTTATCATTAATTATTTCAGTGGGGTTGTAGCTCTCATCTCTTTTCCGCATATTTTTAACCACTTTGAAAATTTTTTTTTCTGCTGGCTGTTTT